TTATATAGTGCAAATGGAACATAATTCGTGAGATGAGCAGTGGGGGCAGAAGAATAGGTCATGTACTTAAATCATTTTTTTCCGCGGCTAGCATTGGCTCGTACCTGGATGGTGATGATGTGGTATTGGCCTGTACAATATTTGAGATTTTTTTTTTTTTTTTGAAACCTTATACTGTTATCGGTATCAGTGCATATTAAATATTTGTACATGCGTCTGCTCATACAAAGCCAGAATTACATTTACAACGTCTTTGCACTGACACACATACTGGACCACATAAACACTGTTGTAGCTGTATTTAAAATAAATAAATAAATAAATAAAAGCTACATTTACATTAGTGGTGAAGGTAGCAGTCACTTTGTCAGTTATAACACAAAGGGATCCCATCGGGTAGCGACGAGGAACGTGAGATGGTTGGCAAAACTCATAAGGGAAAAATTGCATTGAAAATGACTCCAAGCGGTCTTAGTGTTATCGGAAAGACCTGGTCGCGTGAACCGGAGAACAGACGTGGTTCTGGTAATAAAAGATAAAACTCTTTGGTGGCCTAAAGCTAAACTCTGGCACTTAATCAGTGTGCCAAGCGTATTCCGGCAGAAACTTTGATGGTCTTCTTCCTTAAGCCCTACAAAGCGGAGGCAACGGACTGCCTCAAGCTTTGACAAACGAATGTGACGTGTCCACTGGGATGCGCCGCTCAACATTCCAGCCTCGTTTTAATTTAATGACTGACACGAACCCACTGTTCTCATTTCCTGTTGGAGCTGACATCTTCGCATCCCTGCTGGATTTGGAGAACTGTTCCAGGCTACTACAATGCTAGCTTGGTTTTTCAAAGCACCGTGTGAATTAAAGATGCTCAAGAAACATTTTGGCACGGACTCTGCACCTCCACAAGCCCATCCTTAAGAAACGGCGTTTAGGGAGCTCCCGCAGTGCTGCCTCGTCAGGTCACGTGAACGTGTAATGTCATCATGTTTGCATCCTGAGGCAGCGCTTCTCCTTTCAGACCTGGATCTGTCTGATCCGCTCCCCGTCACCACCGATTCGAGTGGTCCTGACGAGAATGAAATCACAGCCTCTGTGGCTCGGACCTCTTATTCTCACTGGCACTGAAAATGAGGTTTTTATAAAAGGCGTGAGTGTGAGATATGTGGATTTTACAATTCATGGGCACATGTTTGAAGAGACATGCGATTCATTTTAAATCTGCTTGAATATTCCAGACTTGGACTGCCAAAAATCAGAGAAAAAAAAAATCGGGCGAACTATAAACTAGGTCTTGCGTTTTACCTGCTCGTCTGGCTTCTCCTAATAGCCTCTGCCCAAAGGTGCAAGTGTCTGTTTTTAATATGGCTTTGCATAATAAAGCTCGACACTGCCCAAAGGCTTATTTGGATATGAAATATTATGTGCAATATTTTTTTTCGAATTTGATAACCACATGCGGTCGAGTCGGAAGTGACATCATGCGGCCGAAAAATGCGGCCTTCGGAGGACGTAACCTGTTAATTTAGACACAGCTATCTTGTGTGTGTCTCGCTCTCTTGCACGCCCAATTTGTTCTGACACTCCGTGAGCATATCAGACCGTTTAAGTCCTTGTATAATTTACATGTTTCCATACAACTAAACTTTATTTAGCATGGCTGATAAAATAAAGGCTAATGATAGTGGTGGTGATGGCGGTAAAAAGCAAAAGGCAAGCGATGACATCGGTCGTGATAACAAACGACAGGCAATCTGCATGGAAATGAAGGTTGCCAATGTTAGAAAGCTGGGCAGTGGTCAGAAGATGATTAATGTCAATGTCAATCGGTGGTCAATGGTCAATGTCTTCCACCTCAGCAGCCTCTTCTCCATTCACCTCTTTTTCCACCTCAACCATCTTCATAAGCTTATTTCTTTTTATCCATCTGACCATCATTGAAGCCGCTTTATCCTCGGGAGAGTCGCGGGCGTGCCGGAGCCTATTCCAGCTGTTTTCGGGCAGAAGGCAACGTACACCCTGAACTGGTTGCCAATCGCAGGGCACACATAGACGAACAACCATTCACCGAGGGACAATTTGGAGTGTTCTATCTACCTGCCATGCATATTTTTGGAATGTGGGAAGAAACTGGAGTACCCAGAAAAAAACCAAAGCAGGCACATTGTGAGGCGGCAAATTCATCGTTTGTCTTTCGGTCAAAGGCAAGATAGATTTGGATTAATTGCTCAGCATCAGCTCACTACGACACTGGCTGGAGGAGAAACAGGAGTTCAGAACATTCAGATCGATTCTCCCATTACATTAACAATAATATTTATTCAAAAACGTTTCTAAAACTACTTTCTTGTATTCTTTGGCATTTGACTCAGCATGACTCAGACTTGATCTTAGTTTTACTGTTTGGTGCTTTCTACCGTCTTTGTTACTGATTTATTGCTTTATTGTTGAATATATGATAGTTGCTCCATGTACAGCACTTTCTATGCAGCGATGGCTGTTTGAAAGTGCTCTATAAATACAGTTGCGTTGAGAAAAACAATTCCTTGATTGATTTATCCCCTTATTGAGTTTTCCCCTTAGCTGATCAAGGAAGATTTGTCCAATTCCCATTAGCGTTTCTTATCACTCTTATATTGCTTAAAAGTTCTCCGATGTCCATCATTTGCATCTGTTCCGTTAATGCCATGGAACTGCTCGATTGCAAACTTTTCCTGCCGCAGAGCATGCATTTTTAAACACGCATGTAATTCACTTGAGACAAAAAAATGCATGGATGTATCTCAGAATCCATACCTTCGCTGTGGTGCCAGTTACCTTCGTGTGTTGGCTGTTGTCACAACTCTGTTCCGAAGAATAATGGTTTAGTTTGAAAGAAATCTTAAACCCATTGCTCCCCAAAGTGTGTGTGTGTGTGTGTGTGTGTGTGTGTGTGTGTGTGTGTGTGTGTGTGTATATATATATATATATATATATATATATATATATATAAGTATAAATAAATAAAAATAAATAAATAAATAAATACGGTTAAGGGCAGCCCGGTAGCCGAGTGGTTAGCACGTCGACTTCACAGTGCAGAGGTACCAAGTTCAAGTCCAGCTCCGGTCTACCTATGTGGAGTTTGCATGTTCTCCCCGGGCTTGTGTGGGTTTTCTCCGGGTACTCCGGTTTCCTCCCACATTCCAAAAACATGCGTGGCAGGCTGATTGAACACTCAAAATTGTCCCAAGGTGTGAGTGTGAGCGCAAATGGATGTTCGTTTCTGTATGCCCTGCGATTGGCTGACAACCGGTTCAGGGTGTCCCCAGCCTACTGCCCGAAGACGGCTGGGATAGGCTCCAGCACCCCCCGTGACCGTAGTGAGGATGAAGCCGTTCAGAAAATGAATGAATGAATAAATAAGGTTAGGACTACTTGTTATGTTGAATAAATAAAAATAGAATCATCGATTCATCAAATTGACTCAACTTTCAATGAAAACACCAAGGAAACACTCACAGTTGGATAAAACATTGACATAGCAATGGAGCTTATTATCATATCATCTCTTCCAGTATAGTGTCACACCAACCTCAAAATATCGGTAATGCCAGTGTCTACTTAAATTTTATTTCACTGACAACACAAAAAAAATAACCAAAAGAAAGCCGCTCTGTTATGTCATGCCCACCCTAGTCTTCACCGGCATCTAAATCAAAACTAGATCTTTCACTCTTGAATGGTTTTCTCGTAACACTCGTGCCTTTTGACAGGTTTCATCCATAAGTAAGTGTCATGTGCTACAGTGATGAATGCCGTCACCCTTCATCATGCACGGCCACTGGGTGTTTTCTCTCTCAAAGCAGCGAGGCACGTGATCAACAGAGCACAGTCGTGACGCTCTTCTCACAAACGCCCGTAAACACGCGAGGAGGAGCCACGGCCAAGACTCACTCCCTCAGCATTTTCCCCTGCCCGAGGAACACCCTTGTACTCGGCAAGACAGATTAATCGGCTATCCCACGCCGAACCGTGCGCCACTCCATGCCACGCATCAACCCTCACATGTCAACTCTTTCATTATTTACTTAAATATCTGTGATGTTATCACAAATGTAATCTACCCCCCCCCCACACACACACCACTTACGTAACTACACATTTCACCAACTTAGAGGATCTCATTTCAAAGCCTTTATCGGGGAATCAGCTTACATAACAGATGATTCAGAGTAGGAGTTGGTGTGCGAATGTGTATGGGTATGCATCAGTAAGCAAATGAAGCCGTGCTCTCCCTGACAGACCCTTGATGGGCTTCACGCAGGCCAGCATCGCCTGTCAAGGGCTACCTCCCCCCCTCCAGCCCCACCCCCTTTTACTCCCCTTAACACTGCACCTGCTGTACACAATGCACCTGCTGTACATAATAACAGGTGCATTACAAGTGTGTTATATTTCCCAGCAACACACATTCTCTCTCTGAGCATGTTGGGGGGAGCCCAGCATCACCCCCCATCCATAACAAACAGGTCCCACACAAGAGCAGTGGGCGACAACAACACAGCAGTGGATCGAGACCAACATAAATCCTCTTGACACATTACCCCACACATTATCCGCACCCTCCCCCCCTTGCTAACCTCTGAGACTGTAACCCCCCAACACACACACACACACACACAGCCACACGCGCGCACACACACACACTTCATCCACCGTTGCCCGCCCCGCTTGTGGAGGACCACAATTTATGCCATGCAGAATAATGCCAAGTCAGCGTTTGCAGACAACAAAGAGTTGGGATAGCATAATATATTCCAGGGTGGACAAGAGACAAGAAATAGGGCGCGGAGTAAGCTCATTAGCATGAGCCGCAGCACCTGCCTGACAGGGAGCCTTAGTGGGGACGACGAGGAGGAGGAGGAGGAGGAGGAGGGGGGGTGGGTGCAAGGATGGCGACCGCTACTACCGCGGTTATTCACGATATTAATACACTTTAGAGCGAGTTAATAAAAGTCTCTTACCCGCACAACCCACAAGGAGCAGGGCTACAAAGATGTCCCCGGACCGGACCATGGCAAAGTCCCCCCCTCCCGACCCTATCGCCTTCACTTGAGACGAGCGCTGGAAACGTGAAACGGCTCGTCGCCTCGCTCCTCTTCCTCCACCCCCCTTCGTCCCAAAGGCGGGTGTGTGAGTGGCCCTCGGCTTTGCTCCTCAGCAGGGAATCATCCTCAAATGGAATCGCTCCGTATGGCTCATTCGGCGGTCAGCGGGAGGAAGGCGCTGGAGCGCGAGTCACTCGTGCTTCTGGTGACGGTGGTGCTGATGAGGATGAGCGCCACAGCAGCCGTTCAAAGTGTGACTGACAAGCAGAGCCTGCTCACAAGTGTGAATCAATGCGCGTGGCGGGGACGATGCACCTCCCGTTAAATAGTGCACCTGTGACATCGACAAAAACGGACCCCTGTCATCGGAGCGTTCAATATCTCAGTGGCGTTTTAATGTGTAATAAACTAATGAGGCTCCAACCTCTCTACTTTTACCCCTGTTGTTATATTCAATTGTATAGAGTACCACCTTTATTTGTTCAAAAGTTTGTAATTTGCAATGTCTAATGTTTTGCATTGTACTCTAGTTTTATTTACATTTATTTAAGTGCATGGCCTATCCATGATTTTTCCATTACAGCTCACTTACAACTATTTCTTAAAAGATGGCATCTTGTTTTCTTGGTAATCTATTTCCTGAGCACTTTTTGGTGACACTAATCACATGTATCAATTGACGATTTCTGATAAGGCCTTCACGCCTTGCAGTTGTGATGAGAATATGGTGTATTTTAACTAAATGTGCTTCAAAGCTGCTATCTTTTCTTGAACATGGCAAAAGTTTCGCTTAAATACGGCACTAGCACTTTTTAGTGTATCAACTTATCATTCATGAAATTCTTGACATTGTCGTCACATTTCACTGAAAAGGTAGCCTTTATCTGGAGGCTTTTCAGTTATGGGGTGCTTCAGTTTGAACACTAAAGTGCACTACACTGTACTGTACATGCGTAGTGAGTAGCCTAGGCAGATAAGAGACCAAGAAGAACCTCGAGTCGAGTGGATCTTAACCAGGCACGGCTCCAGGATTATTTTGTCTCTCCTGACCGATGCATCGGGAGGCTGAGAAAATGAATATATTGTATAGTGATGTGTCGTTCGCGAACGAGCCGGCTCTTAGAGCCGACTCTTTGAAGTGAACGACATGAGCCGGCTCCTAAGAGGGAGCCGCTTTAATGGGAGCCGACTTTTTTTTT